GTCCTTCTCCCTACGAGTTCTGCTTGTCAACCTTAAGGTTAAAGGTGAAGTTGTTTCATGCACTCCATTTAGGATTTAGAATCTACTACTATTCTCTTATTAAATAATCTTACCATAATGACCTACTTGGGAGACGGGTGACTTGCTTGTATACAAAAGGTGCCCCATTAGTATCGAGCTGATAATGACTGTCTGATTTATAGGGTCACTCAGAACGAAAGATCCCAGAACCTTGTTACCCAAGATGAGATGCGGAACACCAAGAATTCAGAAACCTTCTAGAGGAGGGTCGACACGTCGACGGAAGCCTCTGCCAATCGGTAGATCATGCATTGAACTCTGTTCGACGGCATGGCATATCAAGTTTGTTTTTCTACTATAGTGCCACTAATAGAATACTGCAACTTTCGAATGAGAGCAAACGGCCGCATCATTGTCTTTCGAGGGAATGTCTTCATGGGAACATCCAAATGGCAGCAAGATCGAATATAATTTGACAATAATGCACGGAGTGTATAAACTATAACGTGTTTTCGATCTACAAGCCCAGAAGCTTCTACTTTTGACTCATCATTTAGCTCTCGAGGCTAACTGCACCATGCTCCGATAACGGATAGCTCTACCAGCAGTATGACTCAGGCGAAAGCTGTGAAATGTGATCGGCTGGTTCGCATCTTTTAAGAAACATACCTTGTGGGAACCACTAGTTGGGCTTATCAAAAGCGGCTCTCAAGGACTACGAAGTATTGACATGTGGACAAAGGAAGGCGTGCGAGACATAGCGCTGCTCAGCTACTATAGCGCCAGGAAATCAGCCAAAAAAGGTGATGACCTGTGGTCTTGTCGATCAAATTAGGCAACATCACAAACTAGCGCCATTCCCTCCAGTACCAACCGGGCAAGCTAAGCATTTCAAGTGGGCTAATCATCCCTCTTTCCCGACAAAACAGATTATCAGACCGGAACTCCAAAGGACTCCGGGTTTTATCCGGAGATTGGCGGTCAATGATGTGCCGATGTATGATTATTCGTGATCCTGACCGACATGGACAAGGAGCAAGTAGTGGATGCGGCCAGACTGCATGCGTGCAATTTGTACAGTGCTGGTGACCATAACACATCCAGAAAAGATAGACAGTTGTTGCATTTCAAGATGAACTAGGTGCTTCTAGTGTCAATCGGCACATGCAACTCATACTCTTTCAAATCCAATCAATCCAGACCGGTTAGTCAGGGAGGCGTCATTTGCCGCGTCTAAGCGCCACTCCGGCCGGTGTCGGTCCCCAGAATTTTCGGCCGTAGCCAATCGCCACCCAGCAATTGGGTGCTGACCACCGACACCGGCGCTGCCCCTCGACAAGCCGCGCTGCGACATCGCGGGTCTTCCCCAGTTAAAACCATCTTCGCTTCTCCCAGTCCAGCTGTTCATATTTCCTATCTATCTTCCTCTGTCTTTCCCCGTGTTTGGGCTTTATCCCTTCTCCTCATTTCTCCCCGAAAGCACACTCTCATCCCCCACATTCTATATTTCCGTTGATCTCCTACATACACATTGCCCCTCATGCCCGGCGCTGACAGGAAACCCAAGACCTTGTATGACAAGGTCTTGGACCACCACATTGTCAACGAGCAGGAAGATGGTACTCTCCTGATCTACATTGACAGACACCTTGTCCACGAAGTCACATCCCCCCAGGCCTTTGAGGGTCTCAAGAATGCTGGTCGTAAAGTCCGCCGGCCGGACTGCACTCTGGTGACCGTTGACCACGTATGTCTTTCATTTCTTTTTCTTACCCTATATCAGGAACGAGTCAGTCACTAACTAACTCGACGATAGAACATCCCCACCTCCTCCCGCAAAAACTTCAAGAACGTTGATGAGTTCATCAAAGAGAACGACTCCCGTCTGCAATGCAGCACCCTCGAAGAGAACGTCAAGGATTTCGGTCTCACATACTTTGGCATGGGCGACAAGCGTCAGGGTATTGTCCACATCATCGGTCCTGAGCAGGGTTTCACCCTCCCCGGTACCACCGTCGTCTGCGGTGACAGTCACACCTCCACACACGGTGCCTTTGGTGCCCTTGCCTTCGGTATCGGTACCAGTGAGGTCGAGCACGTTCTCGCCACTCAGACCCTCATCACCCGTCGCAGCAAGAACATGCGCATCCAGGTCGATGGCGAGCTGCCCGCCGGCGTCACCAGTAAGGATGTTGTTCTCCACATCATCGGTGTCATTGGTACCGCCGGAGGTACCGGTGCCGTTATCGAGTTCTGTGGTTCCGTCATTCGCAGCCTGAGCATGGAGGCCCGTATGTCCATGTGCAACATGTCCATCGAAGCTGGTGCCCGTGCCGGTATGATCGCTCCCGATCAGATCACCTTCGACTACCTGAAGGGCCGTCCTCTCGCTCCCAAGGTCGACAGCCCCGAATGGACCAGGGCCGTCAACTTCTGGTCCAGCCTCGCCTCCGACGAAGATGCCGTCTACGACAAGACCGTCATCATCGACGGCAAGGACATCATTCCCACCGTCTCCTGGGGTACCTCCCCCCAGGATGTCATCCCCATCAACGGCGTCGTTCCCGGCCCCGATGACTTCGAGGATGAGAACCGCAAGCTCGCCTGCAAGCGCGCTCTTGAATACATGGGCCTAACCGCCGGCACCCCCATGAAGGACATCACGGTCGACAAGGTCTTCATTGGTTCTTGCACCAACGCCCGTATCGAGGATCTCCGCGCCGCCGCCAAGGTTGTTCGCGGCAAGAAGATCGCCTCCAACATCAAGCGTGCCATGGTTGTTCCCGGCTCCGGTCTTGTTAAGCAGCAAGCCGAGTCCGAAGGCCTCGACAAGATCTTCTCTGACGCCGGCTTCGAATGGCGTGAGGCTGGTTGCTCCATGTGCCTGGGCATGAACCCCGACATTCTCTCCCCTCAGGAACGCTGCGCCAGTACCTCCAACCGTAACTTCGAAGGTCGTCAAGGTTACGGAGGTCGCACTCACCTGATGTCCCCCGCCATGGCCGCCTCCGCCGCTATCGTCGGCAAGCTGGCCGACGTGCGCGAGCACCTCACCTCCAGCCCCGTCCTCGGCAAGGTGCAGCCCAAGATCGACGTGCAAGAACAGTTGCACGAAGAACCCACCACCGAAGATGAAGTCGAGCGCATCATGGACCTCCCCGCCGACAACGAACCCCACACCAACTCTTCCGCCACCGCCACCTCCTCCGCCGGCCTCCCCAAGTTTACCACCCTGAAGGGTGTCGCCGCCCCGATGGACCGCTCCAACGTTGACACCGACGCCATCATCCCCAAGCAATTCCTCAAGACCATCAAGCGCACCGGTCTCGGCAGCGCCTTGTTCTACGAGCTCCGCTACAAGGACGGCGCCGAGGACCCCTCTTTCATCCTGAACCAAGGCATCTACCGCAACGCGAAGATCCTCGTCGTCACCGGCCCCAACTTCGGCTGCGGTAGTTCCCGTGAACACGCCCCCTGGGCCCTCCTCGACTTCGGCATCAAGTGCATCATTGCCCCCTCCTTCGCCGATATCTTTTTCAACAACACCTTCAAGAACGGCATGCTGCCCGTCGTCATCAGCGACGAGGCCGTCCTGGCCAAGATCGCCGCTGAGGCCCACGCCGGTCGCGAAGTCGAGGTCGACCTGGTCAACCAGCAGATCAAGGACGCCGCCGGTAATAAGCTCGCCGACTTTGATGTCGATGGCTTCCGCAAGCACTGCTTGATCAACGGTCTCGATGACATTGGCCTTACTCTGCAGATGGAGTCCAAGATCAAGAACTTCGAGAACAAGCGGACCATCGAGACCCCCTGGTTGGATGGCAGTGGTTACTTGAAGCGCGGTAACCGTGGTGGCGCTACTATGGTGCAGGCGGCGCCGGTGCCCAAGACCAACAGGGGCGATGTTAAGTCTGAGCCTTTGGAGTGGTAGACTGCCTACATCTCGGGGTTTGATTTCGATTTTGATTTTTTTTCTGGTTGATATGACTTGATGATGAAGCTGGATTACGGGGTTTCCTTTTTATCTCTTTTACTATTTTTCTTGACTCGATTTCGGCTATATATCACTTTTGTTTGGGGAAAAATCACTTGCATCTCGGCATAGGAAGGACAAATACCATATGAATAGGGTTAATAAATAGAAACAATAACAAGAAAACTTGTCTTCATACATACATATATTACTGGTCTTTAAAGAGAATAATCTTGTGAATCCATAATTACCATTGAGGATTATTATATTGGCCCTTCGATATTATTATGATTCTTCTTTGTCAAGGCGAAAACACATAGTAGTGGTAGTCGTAATAACGAACTTAAATCAATCTCAGTCAACAACAGTGCAATGAACCAAAAACAACACAAAACAGAACAAAACATGTAGTACTAAGCGATAACAAATCTCCTCAAGTATATTATGAAAAAAAGCATCATCATTACCAATCACCCAATCATTCCATCAATCAATTAATCAGAACAAGCAATTCATCCTCCCATGTAAATCATGCTCATATCAGCAATCATTCAATTCACTCAGTCAATCAATCAATATCCCATGAACGCGTATCCAAAACATTCGCAAGCAGGTAAGTAGCAGGTGTGGTATCAAGCGAGCGTAAACACATCCGGTTCGTCAATATATAAGTTTCAATCCAATAAAGAATGCAAAGACTTTCGTAAGCAGCCAACAACGATGATAAAAACGAATGGTAAAATCACGCAGGTATATATACGTGAACGTAGTGGGTATGATGGTGATAATGCAATGCGATGCGATGCGATGCGATGTTATGCAAACCGAACCGGTCGTGTCGTTGAGGGAGAGGATAATGTATGGTAATATACAAGGCGCGCAATATATGAGTGTAGATGGGGTGTATTTTCCTCCGCGGGTTTTGTCAATCTGGAAATTATTTTTATGTGTCGTAGCCCCCAGCTTTTCGATGATTGAGCTGGGACACTGTAGGGTGGGAGTCGGATTAAGGCTTTGTGAGTTGTTCTTTCCGGAAGAACATCAAGAATCCGGCACTGGTGTGTTGTTAGTAAATGGATTTTCGACTGGAAGGTAATGAGGGGAGTATCTTACCAAATGAGTAACTGGAAGAAGAGCGCAATCCAGAACCAAGCGTTCGCTATGGCGCTTAGTCCCGCTGTGATATCTGGCGAGATGGGCCCGGGTCCGATCTTGTTCGGTGCGAATGCTCTTGCGCAGATTGTTGCAATTGAACCCAGTACTTGCGATGCAAGTAGCGTGAAGCAAATATGCATCCGGGTCAGGGTCTGAAGAAGGATCATACCGAACCCGACGCCCTGCAGGGCGTCCAAGACTCCGAGCCACAGCCACAAGCTCCGGGATACAAGGGCACCAGAGGTGTAGCTACCCGCCCAAGGAAGGAAGAGCCCAAGGCCTGATACACCCCACCAGATTTGGGCCCATCGGGGGGCACCCAAGCCACAGGCGAAGACTGGGAGGATCCAACTATGGCGCTTGGAGAGGTATCCAAATAGGAATAGCCATCCAGCCCATACGAAGCCGAAGAACACGATGCAGAGGATTCCGACTTGCCAGCCCTTTGCGTGTGCCGAGCTCCAAAGGACTATAGTAACGACCGTTAGAACAGAAAGAGCGAATGAGTTTTGGTGTACACTTACAACTCCAGTTTCGTCCGTAAGGCGCACTCAAGAAGAAGTTCTGCAAGATGACGACCACAAAGTTCCAGAGGATGATCTTGCGCCGGAACACCGATTTGTAGAATGAAGGAACCTTTCCCGGTGCTTGGTGGTAGTAGCTTGGTAGACCGAAGAAGATCAAGAGACCGATGACCCAGAGGAGGACTGCAATGGGCATGCAGATAGCCCTGTGATGTGTTAGAAACGACATAAGACCAAGAAAGAGGAAAACTCACGTCATTCTCCAGGTGTTAGTGATGTTGCCCTGAACATTGGTGACTCCGTTTTCAACTGCAAGGGAAATGCTTGTGCCCCAATACCATAACCCAATCACGTAGGCCTGTTGACTTCCCTGGATGAGACACGCGCGGAACACCCACTGCTTGACAGGGACTCCGTTCTCGTCACCAAAGTTGAGGGCGAAAAACAACGATCCACTGGCCGAAGCTGCAGCGTACAGGCCGGCGCCAACGTTTTGGATCCAACCGCGAGTAAAGCCATCGCTCTCAAAGTGTGCAAATCCAATGACCACGAACGACAACCCGTATAGGAGCCAAGGAAGTGACAATACGAACACCGACTTGAAGAACCGGAAGAAAAACCACCAAACAATCGAAGCGACCAGGTATACCGTTGCGATGCCATAGAGTTTCTTCGCTGTTTCACCATTTTCGCCTGTCAACAGTGTAATTTGGTACGAATTGGCAGCTATAATTTGTCCAAGGCCAAGGAAGAGCGAATAAATGGGCCAATCGCCGATTCGGATTTGCATCCATTTTCTCAGTCCAGTAGGTGGAACATAATCGTTTCCAAGAAGGAACTCGTCCTTTTCTCGGCGCTCTTGACTTCCACTCTCGCGCGAGTTCATGTCGACATTGGAATCTGAGTTCATGGGTGAGCTGTTGTCGAATTTGCCATGGAAGATCGAAGAAGCAGGCGACTGGTTGCGGCCAAGTCTTGCGTCTCTGAATTTTCCAAACCATTTCTTCTCGCTGTCCTTCAAGTACTCCTCGATGCAGAGTTGCGATTCGGAATTATGACCATTCAGGTTCTCCAATCTCTTATCAAAAACCCTGTAATATTCACCGGTGCTGTCTGTGAAGAAGGGATCGACCTTTTGCAGTTTGTAATCTTTCTTCTCACCAATGACGGAGTCGACCGATAGAACAGAGGCGCTGCTGAGACGGTTTCCGGGTTCGTTGGAGAATCTTGCAGGCGACACAATCGCCTCCTCAGGCTCCGGGCTTCCAGGAGAAGACGGAGAAAGTATAGACCTAGGTGTGAGGGAGCTCTGGCTTGAGTGTCTTCTGCTAAAGAAGTCTCTGGTAGGAGTCTGTCTTTGGGGGTCTAGTTGATGTGCTGCTTCTATCCGACGCCCCTCTTCTGCTTGCTCAGGGGTAAGCGTATACTCATCTTCTCCGAAAAGACTGGGCATGATGTCGTCATCGCTGCTCTCCTCGGTGTTGGAAGCGTTCGCAATTTCATCAGTGCCCGTGCTGCTTCTCATACGGCGGCGACCGCGACGGACCAGGTGGCCAGGGCCAGCTCGCACACCAAGCGACAAATGTTTGCTTAGTCCCGACTTGGGCTTTTCATTTGATCCAGGGCTCGGGGGTCGGCTGTAAACAATCGTATTCCGCTGCTGTGGCCCCAATGTGCTTAGGCGGACGTTCGAGTAACTTCCTTCCCGGGAATGCGCGATTGGGGGTGTCTGTATTCCGCTAGGCGTGACGTATCCCGGGGATGCAATGGTGGGTGTCATCATTCCGCTGGGTGTATTGAATCCAGACGACAGGGGCGGAACATTCGATTTCGCTTGTCCCTTACTATGGATACGCATTGCAGTAGATTGAAGGATTTCCAGATCCTCAACCCATTGGGCCACGGGGAAACGTTGTTTGGCAGACCGAGCCCGCATCTTCGCCCGCACTTGGGGCTTGGAGTTCAAGGCGCTTGCAATAGCAAGCTTGAATTGGTGCAGAAGGTGAGACGTTGTAGTAGACTCGATGTTGTACCACCAGCCAGGCATCTGTCCAAGACCACCAACACGTGCGCCAATGCCCAGGGCACCTTTCCGGCCAAATTCAACAGCCACGAGCCCAAAGGGTTCATCACGCGAAGGGATCAAGGCAAACTCGGCTCCAGAAAAGATATATGGTGGTAGAGCTGTGAACTCTGGCTTCGAGAAGACCCGCCCCGGGTAGAGTTTCATCATATGGTCCAACTTCAATGCAGCAAATTTGCCATAGAGGTCAATGACTGGACCAACGCAAATGAGTTGGACGTTGGGACGGGACTCCAAAATAGCAGGCATCACATCAGCAATAAGGTCCACACCCTTTTGCATGGACCAACGGCCCACGAACACCAGAAGATCTGCATTGGGGTTTTGCTCCAAGCCAGCCCATTGTTGCGCTTGTCGCTTCAACTCGGCTCTGCTAGCCTCGTATACGGGATCAACCTGGATCTCACTTTCTTTCGGCAATTCCTTATTCCATTCTGCAGTATCAGATGGATCAGGGTTAGGCAAATTGCCTACCTTCTTCAGGCCCCAAAAGATAGGATAGCGTGCGTATGAACGTTTGCCGTACTTCCTAGAGACACCAACAGCTCCAAATCCTTGTTGATGGATACGGAGGTAGCTTGCTCCGGCATGAAGCATATTGAAGACTTCTCCGAATTGAACATAGCGTCTTGCCGTGTCTGTGTCCAGATTGAAGACTGAACAGACTTCATCTCTCTCCTTCTGGGTGCGCATAGGCCAAAGCCCTTGGAACTCAGCATTGTGAAGCGATAGACAAACTGGAATTGTCTGTGGCAGAAGATATAACGGTGCAATGGACCCATGGTAGTCATTGATGTGGTACAGATCAATCCGGAACCGCCGGATTGCTTCTGCGATACACTGGTTCCATGCTGAGTAGTAAATTGCGCTGTCCAAGTCATCCATGCGAGCAGGGTATGGTTCAGCCTTCGTTTGCTGGCGGAAAACAGGAGCGTCAAGTAGAACATAAGTGATGTTCTTCACAATGTGGTATTGGACCTTGATCTCATATTCGTTACCAAGAACCTTGACTTTCATCGGGTCAGCGGGCTGATCGACTGGATAGTCCACTCCGCCAACACATGGGACAACCCAAATGAGGTTCTGCTGGCCGAGATGCTTTCCCATAAGCTGGGCCATAACACCCAAGCCACCAATTTTGATTTTGATAGCCCAGTCTTCGATGTCATACTCCATGGTTGCGATAAGCGTTGTTCTTCTTCGTGACCCCGCCGCACCAAAAGCTGACGTGCTTTGTAGGAAGCCAGACTTATTAGCCAGACGTACTAGGGCGTTCGTGGATTGGCCGTCTTTGTTGGTCCCCTTGCCAAAAACTGTCCCGAGGAAAGACTTCTTCTCCACCACTCCGACTTGGTTAAACTTGACTTGATAGAACGACTTCATGAAGGCATAAACGCACGCAGCACCTGTTATGATGGGAACCAGCCACAGCAGGATGTAGATGATTAGCTGTGCGATTCGAGAGCCAGTCGGCTGAAGATTGAGTCTCATGTTTCCATCATCCAGATGAACGTTCCACACGAGGTATGGATACGGAGGTCTCTTGGTGATGTTGACAGACAGTTTGCTGAGTGACGAAGGGGGCATGCGCTCCAAGACTCCATCGCCATCCACGTCACCGAATACAAACGACTCATCGGGTTTACCATCTGGATCCATGCCCCAGACGTTGAATTGGCCTTGTGCCGGGTATTCAGCCACAACCCTGAAGTTCCAGTAACCTTCACTGTCTTGCTTCACGACATTATCCAAGCCAGCATCATAACCGTACTGGTTGTACGGTCCATCGAAGAAGAAGTGTGGGAAACGCCGCCTAGGACCATTCCAGTCATAATCGCCCTCTTGAACATAGTCACTACTGCCAGTCAACTGACTCCAGTATTCAACTCGCACATGCTTGCCCTGCCACTTTTGCTTTTCTGTTCCGGACCAAGGCAACTCCTCAATGCTAACGTTGCCCCCAGTATAGTTGAACCATCCACTGAAGGTAGTTCCCCAGTTTGTCGAGTACCGGTATTTGCTAGCTCCAGCAGCTCTGTGGTGAACATAGAGTGTGCCGTTATCATACTGGTTCAGAATGCTGGTAGAGTAATTGGAAGTGGTGAAGACTATCGGGTTGTCACTTTGACCAACACGGAACAACAGGTGGTCCACAGATCCAGTAGAATCCTTCTTGTCGGAAGTGGTGGCATTCTTGACAGTCAATTTGTGGACACCGTTATACACGTCATTGAGCTTCGCAGACCAGGTCCATGCGCTCGGAAGTTGGCCGATATATTGTGTATCAGTATCATTGGCACCGGGGATACTCTTGCAGTTGACGCTGTTTTTGTCGATGGAAGGCGTTTTACCAGATTCTGTTTGCGACGTGAAGGTGATGGCTTTGGTAACTGAATCACAGTCCATTTCGGTAGAAAACTCAATGCTCACATCAAGGTCTTCAGCCTCGTCATACGCAACGGTAGAAAGAAGCGGGACATCATGGCCAGGTGTGAACTTGGTGATCATTGGTCCGGGGCCGACCCAACGAGCCTTGGGAACGTATGCTCTGTAGTCGAACGCTTTCAGTGTCAGGCTATCAAGACATCCGTTGTACTCTTTTGAGCCGTTCAGATGCAGTTTCTTCGGGCTGTCTTTCAGCTTGAGTTCGTCAAATGGGTAGAACAGGTTCTTGACGGTGGTTCCTGAGTCGAACGGAGAGATCAACGCACTGGCATTGCTCTTGCAGTCGAAGTTGTATGTAGCAGTCTTGTTGTCATTCTGGTACACCAGCCAAACTGACTGATTAGCCTGGTCAGATCCCAGATCTTGAACATCTGAAATGATATCTCTCAGAATAGACCACATGCCGGTCTCCGTCTTCGTGCCATATGAGCCCGGATAAAGGATATCCCTCGTTTGTTTGGACAGGGTCTGTAGTGAGTAACCATCGTTCAAAACCGGAAAGTGTTGTCTCATTTGGTACATGTGTTTAATGATGTTCCGGATAGGGTGGGTGGGATCGCGGTGGTCGTAGGTCACGGTCATATCATTACAACCATCCCGACCTTTGGTAACAGGCCAGTCATAGTACTGAGTATCATCGATAGCAGAGCATCCATGGGTCTTCCAAGCAGTGGCCGGTGACATTGCTTGACGGCCATAAACATAGTTATCTGCGGTCGCGTCTATTATGTAGGAGCCTTGCTCTTCCCCCCAGAGTAGAAGAGGAATGCCAGGCATTTGCAGTGTTGTAATGAAGATGCCCAGAAGATTCCGTTCAACACCCCATTGGATGGCAGGCCAGCGGAAAACATCCTGATTTGTGACTCCGTACATATGCCTAGGATCGAATTTACCCGTGTTTGCGTTAATCAAGTCGTTGCTTTGCATCATGACGTTCCAAGCATCCACCCAATCCAGGGGAAGGTCATAGCCTGCAGCCAGATTACCGCTCATGCCGAGGAAGCGCGTAAGAGTGCGATAGACGGAATAGTGGAAGGCAGCACCGTCAATGGCTTCCAATTCGGGTCCGCGCAAGAAATATTTCGAATCAGACTTGTTCGTCAACTTGATCGCATCCATAGCAGAGTCTGGATATTGGTTGGGCTGTCGACCACGACCAAGGAAGACTGAGCCCAAATTGTTTCCACCAGTAATTTCACCAGGGATAAAGAAATTCTCCTTTCCGACACTGCGAGCACATTCCCGGTAGGTATGCGAGATGTCTGCCAAGGCATCTACAGTCGATTGAATAGCTTTATCATAGCGAAAGCCATCGATGTCCAGAGCTTTGATGATGTTGCAGGAATGAAGTTTGATCCTGTCCCGTACACTAGGATGCCACTCACGTAAACGGTCCTGGACTGAAGCGAACTTGGTCAATTCACGCTGCCAATCTGGATAAACACCAAAGGCTTCAAGATCTCCATATTGGTCGAAATCACTGTCGTAGCATCCCACAAGCTCTTTGTTGACGTAACTATCCACTGGATAACCAGTCTCGTTCCAGAAGGCAGGGTAGTCACAAGTTTCATTGTAGGTATTTCCGGGACGGAAGTCGACATATTGACGGTCCGATTTCCAGAGAGTCTTATATTCTTTGACTGTGAATGGCGCCGTCACGTTGAGATAACCTTCAAAGCCGATCAAATCTCCCATGCTGATGAGATACATTGGTCAATAGTTGGTTCACAGGAGCACAGATGAAGCATGATAGACTTACGTTGCGAGCGTATTGTCGAATATGACATACATCCCACGTTTGTGGATCTCGTCGATAGTGTCCCTCCATACTTGAATAGTGCCATAATGCTGGTCGAGAAGCGTCGTGTCCAAGATCGAGTAGCCATCTGCACCCCAAGGCTGGTTCATAAGGATAGTTCCCGCAAGATAGATACCCTATCACAGATGTTCAATAACATGAGCAAAATCAAAGTCATATCAGGAGAAGAGGCGAGTCGATGATGAGAGGGAAGGAACACAAACCTTGATCCCCATGCCTTGTAGGTAATCCAGTGTGTCAACCAAGCCTACTGCATCACCTCCATGACGCATTTGATTAGAATTGAGATCATGCTCGAAAACAGTGCCGTTAATGTTGTCATTGGCTGGGTCCCCATTGACCCAACGGTCTAACATAATCGTATAGAACGGAAATCGCCAGTTCTTGGGTGACTCCGTATACTTGTGACCCGGCCATGGTGGTGGAGAGTATTCGAAAGGACTAGTCGCAGTCTTATTGACATTGAGGTTATAATCGACCAAAGATGCCTCGTAAGGCCAGGCTGTTGTTGTTGGTGCGAAGAGCGCAAGCAGCGAGCCTGCGATCCCCCACTTCATCGTCAACAGGCACGAAAAATAAACCGCTCTCTGCTTCTCCCGTACTATATGCTCGGCATATAATCCAAGAAGCTAGCGAGTGTTGACCAGAGGGGTAGCCAACTGGAGCAGTATTTCGTGTAGGGGATGGCCGCTGAGAAATATGCCCAAGGATGCCGTAGCGTGTCTTCCTTCTTATGCTTTTGGGGAGCTATTGTAGGAGGGTGTTAACGAATCATGAGCAGCAGATAAACCGAGCAAGGAAAAGGATGAACCCACAACAGATGCAGCTGCTGTGGCGGCAACGCAAGAATAGAAAGACAATAAGGGGAGAAATAAAGAAAAATCAAAAAGAGAAAAAAGAAAAACAATATGCCCGAGGATATGTCCGATATCCTGCAAGAATGAAGATCAAAGTGGATAAGTGGGAGAAAGCATCATTGACGATGATATACAAGCAGACAGGAAAGCTCAGCGAGGAAATGATATCGCCTGATACAGAAAAAAGAAACGACGATCTTTCCCAACAGGTTGCCATTATGCTGCTCAATGCTGATAACTATTTCTCATCGGTGTACTACTAGACAAATGGCAAGGCAGAGATGGAGATATTGCCATGACTTGAGAAGGGGGGCTTGGGCCATGATTTCCGAGTCCAGCCACCGGAACCTCCGTGATGACTGGGCTCACATCGCCTTGCCATCCAAAACGAGAATTTGCAGATGGCCATTGGCTTCAAGGAAAGATGAAGGTGGGAGGGGGATGCTGGGAGGAGACACGAAGCGAGGACAAGCGGTAGTCAGTCCTGTGTCCTGTATGTACGATGGATGTATGAATGTATGTATCCATGTATCGGAGTGCCGTTCCACGGATACCGACAACCCAAAATCCTTACCACTTGTGGCGATTAGTGGGGCCGGCGGGACCAGTTACGATTTCCTATTAGCTGAACTCTGGCGCCATCGGGTACTGTTGATCCCGCTAAGATACGCTCGTTCCAAGTCAGGGAGCCTGATATATCACATCAGAGTCAAGTATCTCACAGTATGAGGCGTTCTTCTCTTCCTTATCACAGTCGTTCGGACAGTAGTCAATGCATGGACCATATCAAATCTGCTTCTTTTTTTGTCTCATCGATGCCAATGCAAGATACAGCGCATGTTCTGATAGTACACTCGATAGCACATGCCTTTCAATAGTAAGTGAGCAAATACACTTAATGCCAAACCGTGTTAGATTGCCTACTTAGACGAATGCTGTCTAGGTACTAGCAAGTCAATAGTAAAAGTACCTTGCCAGGATACGCGTACTTCCTATACTACGTAGGATTTACTATATTCCTCGGCCTTCCCGGCTCATCTACTCCTTGTTTATGTCGTCGATTATGCTACAACGGTGGGAACGCTCGCCTTGCACCCTTGTAACCCTCAGCTGCAAGCATGTTCGAGATTAGGCCTCAGCAATACGCGACGGCGATCGTGTTCCACGAGGCAGTCTGGAAAGAAAGCGAAGGCAGAAGAAATTTATGCACACCCGTACAATTCGTGTTAAATCCGTGCTATATTTAAACTTCAATATCTGCTGACGCACCGGCCTATCAGCAACAATGGCTTGCCCACGTAGTCGCAATTTTGTCATGGTCTGCGCCTTCCACACTCTGTTTATCGCAAGAAAAATAGGCTGATCATCCAGGACTGCATGCGCTAAGCCTCAGATACTGGATGCAAGTGGTGAGCGCATTGCGGACTGTTGAAGTCCTAGTTTACGAGGACCCGGAAGAGCTTGGCTTATTCTAGCGGCTCTCTTGGACACGGCAGAAAGCGGGTCAAGGGAGGACTATTGATACTAATCAGTTCGTCGCGTGCGTAATGCTGGGACCCACGACGGTGTAACTGCCTCTTGTTGATCGGAACGTTCGGGTTAGCCGAGCAGTTGTAGTTGTCTTTGCATTTATGTCCGCATTGTGATACGTCATTCCATGACTCGCATAGAGATAGACCGTAGTGCTAATTAATTCTCTCAAATACTGAGTACATTGCAAGTGTACTGGCGAAGGGAAACAGAGCCTATGCCCCCTTGAACGACTAACCATTCAACCTCGAGTGATAGTACAAGAGAAGCTCAAAATTCATGACACGGTGGAGCCCTGTCAGAGCTTTAGCCTCTTATCGCTGCGATCGACCGCCGGAAGTAAATCGTTGGGTGCTCAGACCATGGAAAAAGCAAAGTCGTAGTCCGGTAGGAGGGGAGAATACCTAACAGAAGCAATATACTTGGCAGGTTTCGGAAGTATTAGAAGTGAGAAGGTTGCCACATAATTACCTTTGTCATATAGTCTGACTATCAAAGTCATTTTACGTTCATTTCCCTTGCTTCTTAGCTTCTTAAGTGGGTTCATTCATGGTAAGGAGAAGTTCAACCGTCTATCAAGATTGTGCTATCAAGTGATAGCTTACTCCCCTTCCCAGAACTCGCAATATATATCCATGTCATCTATCCTTATAAGGTGCGATGTTCATGCAAGGAGAATAAGCTACCAAACACCACCCAATGATGGGGTTTCGTCTAAAGTTATAGTTTCTCCCCAGAAGAAGGTAGAATAACTTCTGTGTATATACGAAGTAGAGAAACATACAGATATAGTAAGATTAGTTCAGCCAGCCATGGGATCGAGAGGTCTTTGGGAGCAAGTGGGCAAGTCTACTCCTCCTCGGAAAATACCCTCCGTTATGTAGCGAAAGTAACAAATGGCCAAGATAATTGTGCCACGAAGATGGAGCATACACTCATGTAAAAACTCAGAGAAGCTGATCCGATGTTGATTATAAATCTTTTTCATGCCTTGATAAGTTGAGTTGGGTGTTCTCATCGCTCGAGATAATGAGAAGGGGGACAATAGGTGTGTGTGTGTGTGTGACGCTCTGGATCGATCGTAAACCCGAACCGGGGCTTTTTGGAACATCCACTTACAGTAATTTTCCCTGGTGATAGACACGCTCCCTTGCTTCGAAATCTTATAGTTTCATGCCTGTTTCGTGGCGTCGGGACAACTGTCAAATGATAGTGACATGTAATATGCATCGGCAAGCCACGCACAACTGCCTACCTGCCTCGGGCGGTATTGTAATCCGTACGAATCCATGAAAAGAGGTGAATGTCCACGATGCCATACCGAACCTCTCACTAGCTTAGTCTCATATAATCGTCGTTGACCACAGTTGATTTGTGGTTATTCAGAAACGCAAGCCCCTGGCATTACTGCCACGATGCGATGGCATGAATGCAGGCAAACATTCCAAGATGCGACTAGATACCGTAGCTCTGGTTGAAGCAACTCTTAAGTTCAGATTAGCGCGACTCAATCTGCTTCAGTCAAGCTGCTATTGGCTCCTCTAAAGATTTCATGCAGCCAAAGTGGAGAAAGCCACACTCCAGACCGCTTGTCGAATTTCCAAGTCAAAGCTGGTCCCTAATCTTATCCCTTTACCTGGGTTATTTTGGCGGCTGGTTATTCCGATGATGGCTACTAAGGCCCCTGCTCACCTACCGTTCGGACGAACGATGATCAACAACACATCAGCTCGATCCACATGATATCGAACCCTGTCTTCCGGTAGTCTTGCGTATCAGATACATATGCAAAGATTGCAAAAATTGAGCGCTGGATTGTGTTACTGTCATCCAACGAGCACGGACCGCATCGAACCTTTCACCCGATAGAGCCATGCTTGGGTATCTGATACGAACTGAACACATCACTGCTATTCTCTAATACGAGCAACTCCCAACCCTCAGATATCAGCAGAACCTTGCCGGAAGACCAGACGCCATCAGATCTTAGTGTCCTGACATGTCTGACCGAGAGGGCCGGTGTGCCCCATGCCAAGGTCCACAATAACTGGTACCACTCAGAGCCCAGCCTTCCTTGAGAGAGGCTCAAGGCGCACTCGTGTATATTATGCAGTAGTTGGATAGTATACCAAGTGGCTTTAGAAAACTTTGAATGCATGCATTAGTCTTTGGGCATTGCGGCAGTAGATCTTCTCAGCGCGCCCCCCACAGCTCCTTGTTGTCAGATTTCACGACAACGAGCGGTCGCCTTATTTGCCAGACTTGAGAGAGTCGGGGCAGACACAGAAGGCGGAGACGATAGAAATGAATGAGAATCCATACTACTATAGCAATTTCCCTTGAGTTCTTAGCGACCGGTACTTCCTTCTATGCGGTGTGACTGCCATTCGTCTGGTGTTTGAATAATCCAAGATGATGTGCTCACTCGTATGGCATTAGCAATAGGTTGCATGCACAATGGAATTGTAAATGTAGTGGAGAGACAGAAGCTGGTTTGGGTTTACCGCCGTATGGTCTGTGCACAGTGTAGTGAACTTTACCCATCTGCCATTGAAGGCAATATTGCGTCTGAGCCACAGTTCCATACCTGATCTTCAGGCTTTTGCCTCTCCAAGTGAGCTGGATTATCCAGTGTGCAGGTGCCGGTAAGTCCTATAGGCACATGGTTTGACAGTGGGGCCCAAGCACATATCATCTGCATCGATACTGCAGACCCCGGACAAAGTTGACTTGTTCGACATCGCATGGTAGTAAGCTTATATATCACTTTTTGTGGATCACAGACAAGACTTTAGCTTAGCTGCTCATGCAGGTCATCTGCGAACCTTTGTTGGTAGCGTTCCCAAGCGCGCTGGCCGACCAGGCAGATGGAATATTATATGGCTAATGATAGAACAGGGAAGAGGCATCCTGCAGAGCCCACTTCCTAGTACACTGGAACCCACATTCTACTATGGTTTGAAAACTTCGGAGGCCGGGAGTGGGTATAAAAGTCCCTGGTCAGAAGTAAAATCAGAATGGAGGGAGGGGGAGATAGAATACGTAAGAATTTACCCGGGTATTCACCGACTGTTTAGCAGGATGCAAGTAAAGCTTCTAGTCTTTCTTTTCTTAAAAAATCCTGGAGACAGATTCCTGTGTTACCTCATTGCCGGGTCGCCACAGGGATC